TTGTTTGATATATAATTTCATTTTCTAAACAAAATTATTTAAAATATGAAATTATATTCATCGTCTCTATCGCTTTTTATTATTTTAATTTTTTTGCTAAGTTGATTCTCATTCTCTAACTTATTGTGTTTGAACACTTCAATTGTTTTGTCTTCGCTTTTGTGTAAATATACATAGCAATATCAAGTGCTAAGATTCATAAAAGTAATAAATTACTTTTTATCGCTTCTAGTTTGAACAAACTTTAAATCACATGCATTGACGTGAATCAAATCTAGGGATTTGGTATTTCTTTTGCCAAAACAAAAGGGTAATCTAGTCATTTTGGCTTCAACACATATATCACATTTATGATTAGGATCTAAATCACATTTTGGTAATAAACTTAATTTCATTAATCTACACATGTATTAAAATTCACATATCCTAATTGTTTATACCAATTTATAAATAACTTAAGGAAGTAAGTAGAAGATCTAATTTTATTCACAACTGGAGCTACAACATCATTACATTCATTTTAAAAAGCCCCACATTTAGGTAAAAATTTCCTACAAACATATCATTTTTAGCAAGGACAAACTTGCTTAATATAAATACTAACTTAAATTCGTTCTTGCTTAACAGAGAATTAAATACTAAATTCTTATGAATCTTGGGCATATGAAAAATATAATTCAATGTAAGCTACTTCCCACTTGTCTCCTTCAACTTCAGGAGATGCAAAGTTGTTCATATAGAGTTGTTTTTCATGATTCATCGCCTTGTAATTAGAGAACATCCAATGGTTTGCACATATGCGATGAGTACTGTAGCATCCACTCACTAATCCTTAGCATTTTCTACTAAGTTGCATTCAAAAACTATCGTTGAATGATTTATGTCTTGTAGCTTATCAGAATGGTTATCATGATCTATTTGTATTGGCTGGAGAAATTTTTTCCTTCAACATTCTTTAATTTTCAAGAATCTTTGAATCGATGTCCCACTTTCCACAGTTATAACAATTACCTCGAACTTTTTAGAAGCATTCGAAGAACCAATTTGCCCTTTGAAGTCATGCTTCCTCTTTTCATTAACTTTGGAATTTCCTTCCACTTTGTTGGCTTTAGATTCCATCAAATGAAATGCACTACTCATCTTTTCAAATTTCCTGCTGTCTTCTTTCATTCTCAATAAAACAATGATATCTTCAAGTTTCATTTTTTTGTGCTTATGCTTAAGATAATTCTTGAATTCCTTTCACGAAGTCGGTAATTTTTGAATCGGTATAGCAACTTGGAATGATTCATTGAGAGAAGTTCCTTTTGCATAAATATCACTACGTATCACTTGAAATTCTTGAACTTTGGAATATAACAGTCTTGTGTCAACTATTTTATAATTCAAAATTGATCGAAAACGAATTTTTTCGTGCTGACATTTTCAGTTTTATACTTGACATCCAAAGATTTCTACTATTCTTTTATAGACATCGTATTATAGTACACATTATATAATATATTGTTCAACCCATTAATTACGTAGTTTCTATTGAGAAAATTCGAAAGCTTTCATGCATCAACCACGACTAATTTCTCCATGATGATTTCATCCTCTTTGTATGAGGATACATCTTTTTTAAGAAATTTTGTTACACTTAATGTTGTCAAATAAAATAACATTTTTTGCTGCCAACACTTAAAATTTGATCCATTAAATTTCTCAAAAATTTCTACAATTAGATTTAAGAGTCTATTGTATGCTGTCATTTTTTATACAAAATCAAAAGATAAACAAATGACTAAAAGTAAAATGAACTAGAAAATAAAAATAAAAATAAATGTTTTCCAATGAAATTATGTAATTTTCTTAAAGCAAGCTAGTTAAATTTTATATTTTTTTTCGTGGTCATTCAAAATTTTTAATTATCAGCTTGCATGTAATAGAACAATTGAATCATCATTAAAAGATGGTGTTATGCAAATTATTGTCAAACGACTTTCTGCCCTATAATATTACTTGTTGGAATTTTCAGTCAACATTGTCTAGGTGACTGAATTAAATATTGACACCTAATATTGATAACCCAATCCTAAAACTATTTGGGGCCATTGGAAGTAGTCTAATTAATTAGAGTTGCTCATTGCTCGGTTTCTTACTCATTGGATGGTTTATTAGACTTGGCCCACTTATCGTATCCATATTGGGCTTGGTCTATTATTATGTCCTAAAATATCCTATACATGCTGTCCCTCTTTAGCTTGGTCATTCACGTGTATTTTTGCCTTATGTTTGAGAGAGAACAGGTTGTGCCCTCTTCCTTTCTGCTTTTGTTTTTAGTTGTCTCCTTTATTCTTCTTCTTATTCATTTTTTAGCTTGTGTGGCTACAAAAACACATTTTCTTTGTGCCCTAAGTGGGTACAATTATAAGCAACCTCAGTGTAGAATAGTCGAAGGAACTGGGTAGAGATTAGTGTATTGAGCTCAAAAATATACCTTGGTTGTCATCCTTACCCTTACATTTTTGTATCAGAGCTTGGTTTGGGTATTTTCTAGCAAGAGGACATCCAAATCGCATTTTTCTTCAAGGGACGAAACCTAAAATTGTCAATTTCGGCCAAACCAATCATCGGTTGGAGAAAATGGAGGCCATACCCATACTTAGCAAGCAGAGGCGATCCTTTTTGGGCAACATGTTAACGGTGCGATGGCTGACAACGACAGTGCTTGGGGCTCTAATGGTGGCGCATTTTGGCAAATCTGAAAAAGCTTTCTTCAGATAGTTTGTTCGTGATAACTTTCTCAACGTACTGATATCGTTAACTTCGTGTTTCAGGTTATACAACAAATTTTGGATGATTTTTCCCCTAGATGCTCGATCTGCGATCATTGATCAATCGCATTAGAACATTTGTTGAATCATTAGGTCGAATAGTGGTGGCCATAAAATAACATATCACATATCTCGATTTAACGGATCTTCAAATGTGGTCCTCTCTGGTAAATTGGTTTATCTCCATTAAATTTCAGCACTAGGGCATCATCATGTAGTGTGATAATAGGATTGGGAGTTACTGTGTGGGATAACAATTGCTTGTGCTAGAACTAAGAATTACTTGCTCTTACGTGATTAAAGTATTTATTTTGATAAAATTCATATATTACCTTTGTGATATACTTTGTGTGGAATTACTTTGGTTGAAATTTGTTTTGGTTGACATGCAATTGTTGCATCGTTATTAACGTTAGAATACCTTAGACCTAATCCATTCTAACATTCCTTTGATCTAAGATTGCGAATCTTACGAAACTCTCAGAATTTATAACGGTGTATATTGTCTGCAACCCTAAGACTATTCTATGTGGCTTAACTGTAATTTTGTGAATTTTCAGATTGATTCGCAAAAAATGAAAATTTTTAATGGAAAATGTGAATTTTCTATATGACAACAAAAGATGAGGTATTTTGATTTTTATCCTCGGTTCCTGGGTTGTTGGCTTATGCACCTCAACAAGATTCTGATTACCCAATTTCAGGTGATGACACATTCTTCCCCAATGGAGTCTTAAACTCTTCATATATTCTGATGAGTTAATTTGAATTAAATTTTGCGGCATATTTAAGCTTTTGTTGAAGCATTCTCATTTGCACATACAGTTCATGAGAAATTGAATATTTGTAATTAGTTGTGATGCTCTTTTATGTAAAGTTATTGCAATGAGTTTTGTATTATTTAAGCGAAATCTGGCTATAGGCCACTAATTCAAGAGTTTCTTCTTGTATGTGGATGAGAATTTTGTTTTCTTGATTTAAATTTGTTTTCTTAATTTGAAAAATAGAGTTTATGATGATGAGAAAGAGTGGTTTCGATCAATTTTTGGAAATTCCAAAAATTACTTAAGTGTTTATTTCCCTTTTTCGAATTTTTAAATTACAATTGTACCTTAAACATCTTCATTTTATTAATATAATGTATATGATGTAAGTAAATAAATACAATTTAATTCTCCACATATTGCATTTATTGTAATTTTTTTAAACTAATGTGATACTTTTTTCTTTTCGATTTCTTTGCCACAAAAAAACTTAACAAATTTTATTAATTTAAGTTCTTAAATTACAACAGTGATCGTACAACGCATGATCCCTCACTAGTAAATTGAAAAGAGTCAATAGAAGTTTACGAAGTCTACAAAAATCCATCACTTAAAATAAGTCTGTAAATCAAATATAATTCTTTAAATTATTTTGAATAAATATTAATTTTATTTATATTAGTATCCACTTGTTTTAAAACAATATTTTTGAAATTGAATCAAAATATGATTTTGTAGCCAAAAATAGGATCGAAACCTTTTATATTTTCCTACTTGGTTTTGTTGAAAATCATTTTTCTGGGGGTAAATTTTAATAAAAATTGCTGAAAATATACGATCCTTGTTTGTTGAGATTAAAATCAGATTTTTAGAAAATTTTGATAAAGTTGATGAAATATGTGGTTGAAAAATTATGGTTCTTATAAAATATATAGTTAAAATTAATTATTAATTTAAATTTAAATTTAAATTGAAGGGATTAAACAAGATATAATTAAAATTAATTATTGAATTTGATGATAATGACAAGTGACTTTAATTTAGAGTGTTGCTATTTACATTCATAGATTTTATATATTCATTACACTCTATATCCATCCTTATAAAAATATTAAAAAATTACTATTTTTTATTCACGTCAAATTTCAATATTATCCTTATTAAATTCATTTACCTAAACATAAGGCCTTTTTTGTTTTTATACTCAATTATTTGATTACTCTATCTATAGTGTGTATATATCAATGGAAGCGTCCTCTTCTACTTCTACTTCCACTTCTTCTTCGAAGACTGCAGCCTCCGGGGGCGTCGGAGTCATCGGAGAGCAACCGCTTCCCGCGCCGATGCCTCCGCCCAACGCGCCGCCGCCTTTCCTTGTGAAAACGTACGACATGGTGGACGACCCGAGTACTGACAAGATCGTCTCGTGGGGCCCTGGTAATAACAGCTTTGTGGTGTGGGATTCGGCCGAGTTCGCGAGAGACTTGCTGCCGAAGTACTTCAAGCACAATAACTTCTCCAGTTTTGTGCGCCAGCTCAACACTTATGTATGTACTTCCTTTTTCGTTCTTTTTGTGCTTATTTGTGATGTTTTCCAGCTGTGCTAGTTTATTTATTTGAGCTTATCCTAACCATTTTTCTGTTGATTGTTTAGTTTTTCATTGGAATGTTATTTCTACCTTAATAGTTGATCATAAATAGGCATATTTGAAGCATAATTTTAGGGTTTTTACCTGTAATTTTTCACATTTGAATTTTTAAGAGGGATTTAAATGTTTAGAATATGGAAATTAGGCTCAGGGGTGTTCTACTAGTAGAAATGGTTAATAGATTATTCTAGTGAGAAGGACTTGACACTGATGAACCTTTTTGTAGTATGACAATGAGCTGAGGAAATGTGAGTTGAGTACTCATGGTACTTTTCTTAGCGAGGTTTACTGTGGTTGGAGAAGTTTGGGGAGGTTAAATGCTCTTTGGACTTTTCTCTGTGATGTTGAAGTTAGAGTTTTAAGTATGGAGTTGGTATTCTATTACAGATTTGGAGTTGTCTGTTTGTCTGGAAAGGCATCCTGCATCTATGTTATTGGGATAATGCAGAGAATGTAAAGAATTTACAGGGACCATCTTAGAGGTCACTGATGAATAAGTAGAAGCTCCGTTGGAAAATTCAGATTTATGAACATCATTGCTGGACCATGGTTTTCTCCTTAGGTGGGTGGCATGGGCCTTCTGCCTATTTTTCTATTCAAATTTTCGAACTTGAACATGTGAATATGATCTTGTTCTTCCACCCCATTTTGTCTTCTTGGGCGGAGAAGTCTTTCTACTTTAAGGTTATGTAGCCTGATTCAATTCTGCTATTCTCTCTTTGGGTTTACGTGCCTTATGGTGGCTTCAATGTCATCAGGACTGGTCACATTATCTTTTATAGTGATAGTACAATTTAACGCTGCATGAGATTTACTCTTTTTTGCTGTAATTTTTCATTCAATGCCATGCTTATGCATTTGATCCACGCTGTTGTTTTGTAAGTTGCACCAGTATTGTTGAGGTAAGTATTTTTTATGTTACCTCTTGCCTGTGTGTAAAGCATTAGGTTCTTAATACTTTACTTGACGGGAACGAGATAAGAATGATGGTTGAATTAGTTATCTTTGTTATATATTAATTATGTCCGTAGTTATTGTGACTTTAGTTGGCAAAATTGTTTTCTGGATTAGATTGGATTTCTATTTATCTCTTCGTGGATGTCCTGGGATAAAAGTTTTCTTTCCGATGCAATCCGTTTGGTCTCTGTTGACGTATCTCTTAAATTTGTAGAAATTCTTAGGTACTTAGCATGATGTTTGTTATTTAAGTCGGTAAAAATTGAGGATTTTGACAAGCATATCATCAGAACTTTGTGTGTGTGTGTGTTTTTTTTTTATAATTGGAAGTGGTGGTTCATCAATGTCTTAATCAGCATGGCTTTTAGAAGTTAGTAAAAGATTGAGAAGTTGTGAGCCACATTTATGGAAGATAAAAGGTAAATAATATGCACTTATTCGAAATTCTCACAATGCTGGACATTGTAGTATGGGAAAGAGGTCCTCCATTTCTGACAATTTTATTTAATAAGTCAATTTGGGTGGTTTATTTATTCCTGTTAGTTTCTTTTCCTTAGAGTTGTATTACATTTTCCTCAAATAGAAATCTATGAAGAATCTGAGATGATATATTTCGTGTTTTCGATAGCCTTAATGTATTAGCTGATCGAGTGAATGTGTCAGTGACTTAAAATTGACATTTTAGGTAAGCAGAAGCTATGAGTTGACCCCAAGTGATAAATAAAGTGAACAGATGATGCTTGTAGGAAGATGGTTTCTAATCGCCTTCCACTTCACTCAACCCTTTTATATTTTTGATGCCTTTTGATTTTGTTCATGTTCATTATTATGTGAGCGTAATGAATATCTGCAAAAAACAATAAGAAACCAATGTCAAATAGAATGGAATAACAAAACATGCTGGTTTTGATATTGACATCACTAGGAATCAGCCGGATAACTTTAGAAAATCTCTCATGAAGTCTTCTACAATAGATTTTGCAGTTTGATTGGATGTGGGTTATGTAGTCAATGAATTTTGAATGGGTTAGAATTTTTTTTTGCAGAGAATACCTTTAGTGAATTTTTTTGGCAGTGTTAACTGTTAGGTGCTGATCAACAGTCCCTGAGGATGTTATTTTCTTAGTGGAATGGTGCTGGTTGTTTGTGTTGTAAGCAAATTCATGCTCTTTATATATGAAGAAAGAATTTGTAGAAAAGGCAAGAATCAGGGGAGAAGAGCTAGGATTGAGAAGTGTAGACATAATAGACTTCTCCTATTACCATGAAAATTAAGAATCCAAATAGGAAGCATAAAGATATTGAATCTTTTGATTTTGACAGATCATTCTAGAATAACGAAGACCCTTTTTGAACAAGTAAAACAACATATTGAATAACAGAAATTAAGGTCCACTGGCTACTGATGTTTTCCACGTCCAACAGTTACGAGAAGACCACACTATCTTTTCTTTAAAGACAATCCCAATAAAATTGATTCAATAGCTTCTATACACAATATAACTGACATTTCTTTCTAAAATTACTTCCAAATCTAACAAATTATAGAATTCCAGATTGTCCCTTTTTGTGTATGTTCCACATCATTTTCCCCTCCCCTGCATTGCAGAAAGCATGCTCCAGGTGAAATGGTGTATCATAATAGATATCAGCTATTGCTGCCGTATTTCTTGAGGTTTGTAGTCATGCATTCCATTGGAAACAAGGAACACTAGTCTTGATCCCTTTAATTCTTTGAATTGCTGAAGCTCATGAATTTGGCCATGTTTCCTGTCGGAATATCTTCCATGTTTATTTCGCACTCTTGCTTTTTCTACAAGCCTTCTAGTAATCTAAATTTTTTTTTCTCTTGATTTTTTGATTCTTCAGTAAGAACTTGTGAAGTTGCACGACAACTTCAACTGAAGAAGACATGAAGTTAAATTTAGAAGGAGAAATGAAAGATAAGTTGTTCATCTTCGTGCTCAATTATTCCCTTCAATATGAAAGCATTCATCAATCTATCAACAGACTATTGGAATGTTAGGATATGATTGAACAATGAAAGATCTTTACTTACGACCGGATTCCACGATTGATGAAGAGAAGGCTTAAACTTCTGCATAAGCTTTTCTTTCATTTCCAGCCAGCTTATTAATGAATGGAATTGTGACAATTACATGTCTTTATCAATGTGATACGAATATGATTGCGATTTTATGTTGAATCACTTGATCTAAAAACTTAAGGTTATATATTGTCACATGTATATCATTTAATTTATTTATTTTTTCAATATGCCCCCGTACATGTAGGCGGGTTACATTTTCCCAACAAAGCCTAGCTTGTATAGAATTCACAATGGATGGTAGTGAGACTTGAATCCAAGGACATTTACCTGCTTTGGTATCGTGTTTAACTAATTGATCTAAAAGTTTAAGTTGTTAGATAAGGACACGCGTATCTCATTTAAATATTGTATTCAACAATTTTCTAACAAATTTCAACTTTGGTTCTCGAACTAATTAAGCCAATTTGGGAACACCATTAGCTACTGCTCCTGTCAAATATGTAAATTCCACTATCTTCCAATACGTATGAAGGAGTTAGGATCTTTAAGCTCTGAAACTTTCCTTTCTCAATCAAATTTAAACCTGAAGCTTTTACACATCCTTTTCTTGTCATATAATGTTTTTCCCACATCCTTTACTTATCATATAAAAACCATTTGTCTTTCTTAATGTTTTAGGCTCAAAAATTAACTTTTTATACTTGGATTTTATTTAATGTTTCTTTTGAAGGTTAAGTGATTGCAGAGGTCCTGTGTCTATTGCTAAAGTTGTACGAATCTCAAGAAGAAACCAAATTATTGTCTGTTTTCTGATATTATGAAACTCAGAAGAAAAAACTTGTGATTGTGATTTTCAATTATGAAAGTTAAATGATCACTTGTTGATACAAGAAGTTACCTCCTTACAATTGGAAGAAGTTGCTGTTTCCATATCAGATATTCTCAATAAATCCTCACTACGTAAAAGAAGAGGTGAAACCTTTGAGATTATTATTATGACGTACTCTTTTTAATACGATACTTGACCGTGGTTTTTATCGGCTTAAGCTAGGACTACACCTTTAGCTTTTGGAACTTCTGGATAATTTTTTAGTGCATGTCCTGTCATGGCATTGAAGGTTATTGCAGGGCTGATTTTTATTTTTATAGGCATATTGATATTTAAAAAAAAAAAAAAAAGGGATCCTTGAGTCACATAAATCCAGTGTTATGTTTAGTTAGTGGACTAGCAGTATGCTTAATGCCATTCTCCTTTGAAATTGAATTTTATTTATCCTTCTGTAATGTGGGACTGAATGTAGGTGTTAGAGTTACCTAAATGTGAAATTTGAAGCCTTCTGCTATCTGCCTAAAAAATGTTGTGCTATATTTTTGAAGAGTCTGGATGCTTGCCTGGCTTGCTTTTGGTTTCACGTCAATTTGTAAAGCTTATACATTGCATAAATTTCCTTGGAGAAAGATCACTTGAATACTGTTTAATGTTTGACCTTCAAAGAAAATACATATAAAATTCTTGGACCAACTGGTGAAATATCATTTCATTTTTCATTCTTGTAACATGTAAGCTGGTGTGTATGATTTGCTAACCACTTTGGGAAATTTTTGAGGCAAACTGATACTCTGTGAAGGAATATTCTCTTTCTTGTGTCTAGGATTTGGGGTTTTGAATTGTGACTTAATGCTCTGAAGCTGTGTTAAAATTTAGTATTTGGGTTTGATCCATGGTTTATTTGTTTACTATATATTTGGTCAGGTTATTAATATAATTTTGCCGACTTTGAATTTCGATTTTTGCGCTAAGATGCAGCCTGGTTCCTCTCATCACACAGCACCTTCTTCTAACCCCTAACAGCCTTTCCCAGTAAAAGAAAACAAATTTTCAAAGGCTTTGAATCATAATTCTGTAGGCTTATGTCATTCAAGGTGATGAATAACATTGCATTGTGTTTATGCTCTCTATAAATTTGGTGAAAGCACTGCTCAGGTCACATTCCTTTGACACCTTTTACCTAGTGACTTCTATTATCTACTTTCGTCCATGTTACTGAGAACTAACTTCTAAATTAGCACTTGTTGCACATTAATTTTTTCTCTTAGTGCTGCCGGATAAAATCTCTCTGTTACTTTGTGGAGACAATGCCAAGGTTTTCATTTCTCATATTTAGTGGTATTGTTATGTGTTGACAAAGTTGGGTTCCACCTACTATCAACTTGCATTCGCCCACCTGTCCTTTCACTTTTTAGTTTTTTGGGGCTTTTTCTTTTTGGGTTTCCGGGAAAGGGGAGCAAGTTTGTTGGTTAATATGTTTCTATGACTACGTTGTGCTGAAACTAAATTTTATCTCCCTTCTTTCCCTGTCATTACTCATCTTCAAAACCAAAAAGAATGCATAACTTTTCACAATTAATTTTGCCTTGTGGCGTGGCTAATCAAACTATTGAAGCTTTAGTGGTTGAAAATTAGAATTCCTAATTTTACTTCAACGAGAGCAATCAATTAGCTGAAAGAAATGAAGTCATAAAGAGGTTCTCTTCAATGTGTTGTGTTGTTGTAATAAATCACTATGATTGAAAAAGTTTACAAAGAGAAAAACACGCCTCTTTTATGATGTTGATGTAATAGCTTAATGTTAGCTCCCTATTTATAAGACAAACTAGAGCAAAATCGAAATTTACAAGCACTTAAATTTCTAAGACAAAATATACGAGGATACAAATTCCTAATTTATCCTTAATGAAATTTTGGTCAGGGGCAGATCCCCGGGGGAATTCCCCCCCACACAACAGCCCCCATGGCGACCTCACTGTGGAGGTCAATCTGCATGTTGACTCCGTGGAATGATAGTAATTACTCCCCCCCCCCCCCCCCCCCCAAAAAACCCCCATGGCGACCTCACTGTGGAGGTCAATCTGCATGTTGACTCCGCTGAATGACAGTAATTAGGCTCCGCAACTTGACGCTAGCTTGGTTAAATTTTATTTTTTTTAGCTGCTTTATGCTTGTTATTTCTTTTGTCAAACTAGAAAAGGATCACATGAAGGCATGAAGGTAATGGATGCCTTGTGAATTTAGTGGGTAGAGTTGTCATTCGACAGTGAAGACACAAAGTGTCAAAGCTTGTATTTTGGTTATGGTGAATCCTAACTGAGTTTGTTTAACAGTTTCTTCTGAAAAGCCTCGTACTTATGTTGGAGGAGTGTAAAAAGAATTTTGTCTATGGCTTTAAGGCTGCAAACGGACTTGTGCACAGTTTAACAATAACTGTTGATTTCTGCACTGTAGTACTTCTCAAATGCAGCATTGCCTAAATTAGAATGAAAAGATACATGGATCATTTGTACATGCAGCTTTTTTATGTAATTAATAATTTTAGTGGTGGATGGACAATCAAATTGATGAGAATGATAATTTAAGCCTCGACTATTGAACCATGAATGTACCAGTTGAGCAACTCTTCTGGTGAATAACCATATGGTATTTGGTATGTTACCATTGATTGTGCTTGGAATATGTGAAATTCCTGCAATTTATTCTTCTCAAGATTTAGTGAAAACATCAGACACAGTTTATTCTTCAGCTCTTGACGTTTCTTTGTTTGGTTTACCTGTCCTTAGTCTCTGTAGAAAATTGTGGGAGATTTTGATTGTGATATGGTGTCGGTTTTGGGGCTTTCTGCTAGGTTCACGGAATGATGGAATGCGCTAACATATGTCACCGTGAAAAATTGGTATTGGTGTCCGAACTTGTGCAAAAGAGAATTCTTAAAAAGTGACGTATGGTAGTAGTTACATTTTAATTCTACCAGCTGAAAGGAACCAAAGACAAGATTTGGCGGGGTGTTAGTAGATTGAAGTACAATGGAAGTTGGGAAGTTAAATCAGCAAATCTTCACTTATCCATAACCATTGATTTTGTGGAAGCTCCATGTAGGATGCAATTGGTGCTTGTTTAGTGCTACACTATCTCATTGCTGAATGCACTGTTAGCATTTATGTAAGTTATAAAAGGTGGCTGAACAATTTTATGTTGCTCACTGCTTTACTATGCATAAGCTAAGGTGAAGAATTGATCGGTTTAAATGTGTATAAAATTTGTTACGGTTGGAAATGAACTTTGTACCTTTTGATACATCAAATTGAATATTATTGATTCAATTCATATGCAATAAAAGTCTGTCAATTATTGCTACCAGAGTTTGCTTTTTTTTCCAGTTCAGTTTCTTTCTGTGTTAGTTTCTATTTGTGTTTGAGATAAGATGCCACATGATGGTATTCTTTCGACAATTACACTACACTATTATCATTGGGTCGTTGTGGTCAAACAGGGTTTTAGGAAGATTGATCCAGACCGCTGGGAATTTGCAAATGAGGGTTTCTTAAGAGGTCAAAAGCATCTGCTTAAAAATATTAGTCGGCGGAAACCTGTGCATGGTCACAATCAGCAACAGCAGCAACCACATGGACAGAATTCTTCAGTTGGAGCATGTGTTGAGGTGGGGAAATTTGGGCTTGAAGAGGAGGTTGAGAGGCTTAAGAGGGACAAAAATGTGCTAATGCAAGAACTTGTCAGGTTAAGGCAGCAGCAACAATCTACTGACAATCAGTTGCAAGCAACGGTTCAGCGTCTTCAGGGTATGGAACAGCGGCAACAACAGATGATGTCTTTCCTAGCAAAGGCTGTCAACAGCCCTGGATTTCTGGCACAGTTTATGCAGCAGCAAAATGATAGCAACAGACGCATAACAGAAGGCAACAAAAAACGGAGACTGAAGCAGGATGGCGTTTCGGATGAGGATTCTGTTGGCTCCTCTGACGGTCAGATTATTAAATACCAACCCTCGATGAATGAGGCAGCAAAAGCAATGCTCAGGCAAATCATAAAACTGGATTCTTCTCCTAGGTTAGGCGATGGTTCATTGCCATCTAATGCCATCTTAGGCGATGGTGGCAGTTCTTCCAACGGTGTTTTGGGAGTGACTCTTCAAGAGGTGCCCCCTACTTCTGGACACTCGTCCATTCCAGTTACGGGTCTTAGTCCTCCTGCCGCAATTTCTGAGATTCAACCATCCTCCCTGGGTGCAACTTCTGAAATCGCAACCGCTCAATTTCTGGATGTAAGCCAACTGGTTGGAGCTCCAGAAGTTCCCCCTGTTACATTTCCGCCAACAGATGCTATAATGCCTGAGCTCTCACAAATTGTGCAAGAAAGTGATGTCGATGTCATGGCATCTGAAACAGGGAGTGGTGCTTTGATGGATCCAACCTCATTGGGACTGGATGACAAAATTCTGTTAGAAATTGGCGTCTTTTCTCCTGATTCTCAGATGGCGTGGGATAACTCCATGTTGGATGATATACCAGAGCTTCCTGGAGTGAGTGATTCCTTTTGGGAAAAGTTTCTTCAAAGCCCACCTCCAGCTGACACTGAGGAGATGGACTCAACCTTAACTAACGAACTCCCCGAGGAAAAAGAAACAAAGCCATTGGAGAACGGTTGGACCAAATCTCAGCACGTGGAGCAGCTCACGGAGCAGATGGGACATCTTTCATCAGATACCAAGAAAGATTGATATATTTAACAAATATACTTCTTAATATCTAAAACTAAGGTAAGTTCAAAAAATGACCTTCCTATTGACGTTTGCTTTTTTTGGGCAGACACTGAATGTGCGGTAACCTGTTTTTACTTCTTTTATGAAATTCAAATGCGAACTTTCATTACCAGTCTTTACTTTTGATCTCGTTTTTTCATATTCGATTGTCCTTCGGCTTTTTATCTTTGAATGAAAGGCATTATACGGGAGCTGTTCATTTATGCTAAAGAACGATGATGTCGATTATAAAGCCAGTCCTATCACATGGGAGGTACCTTGTGGTATTAAGGAACACGCAGGAGTCGTATCTGCTGTAACGTTTCTCTCTGCTATTGTTTCAGCTCTTCTAATTGTCAAGACGTCTATTTATCACTCACATAACACAATTTTTTGATGAGCTGAAACATTTCTGAACAATTTTTTTGTCTGAATGATTCTTAATGCATTAGCTTTTCAGATGTAGCATTTAGATTAAAGATAAATTTGCATGGAATTGTAAGGTAAAATTTTGGATAAATACATTGGTGTACTGCTTTGCGTTCGCATAGAATTTAAAGTTTTGAGCTGAAATTGGAAGAAGCCAGTTCAAATGGTCATTTGAATCCAGCAGTAAATGAGACATAATAATATATTTAACTTCGATTACGCTATCGATTGTGGGATTAATAGGGTATAGACTTCACATTTGGAAGCACAAGACGTGTCCAAATTGTCACCAAAGATATACATAGCTTCCTTTTTAAAGAATGATGAGATTATGTGGTCAATGAAAATGGATACAGGACTCTGTAATTTGACCCGATCGCAAAACTATACACAGTTGAACACACAATGCAATAGCATAATATTCGAGCTAAATTCAGTTTTGAAGTAAAAATATTTCTAAGATAAATAGAATAGATTTGCAACTTTTTGCGACGAAACGACACAAGTATACAAGACATTCAAGAAACAGTTTTCTTCCTATAAGGTTGACAACAGTCGAGACTTACCCAAAAGACTGGCTGTTCATGAAGACTGAAATTTCATTGCAAAATACAAAGAAGGTGATCCAAACCATAATCCAACTTTATTGACACTTCCCATGCATGACATGGCAATCAACGATCCAGAAATTGGAACACCAATATACAAATAGAACACACAATCTCCCACGCTGCATATAATTCAGATTAAATTATAGTGGAACCATATAGATTTTGTCACGAAGCCCCTTGTTTAAAGAAGCAACACACTTTAAAAGAAAGAGATATACTGTAAAACGACTTGAAACCACAAAGATCAACAGAAAAAAAAAGATTTCTTAAACCATCTCCTCGACTCTGGTTGACTGCATTTAAGAGCTCCACTGACTAGGCTGCAAGTACTATAATCACTATGAGAAGCACTATGCCAAATATCACCAGGAGTAAGCAAGTCTGCAAGAAACACAGTGTCAATGTTAATCTTTATTTATTGTATACGTTCACAGAAACAATTGTATTTAATGGAGTTGATGTACACGTGTACCCATCGGAAAAGGAAATAGTACTTTGTCCCATAAAAATCAATAATTCTAATTGTACAAAATTCCCTTACAAGGTTGATAAAAGATGTGTTGATAAAATCCAGACCATCGATTTCAAATGATTTAAAAACCTATTTTTAAAATGATTGGTGTGGATATTATTTTATCAAGTTACTTTGTAAGCCATGTTTATAAGTGTAGCACAGCATATGCTTTCTCACCTTTTTCATCTATCCCAAATTATAAACCACTTTCCTTGTTCATAGTATAGTCAATTTCTTAGCTTTCTAATATAACCCCTATTTAATGTGTCTTATTATGTACAAATATGAACTACACATATTTAAACCATTATTTAGTGTAAAAATACTTTAGGAAAAATATAAGAAAAATTTATATTTCTAACTATATTAATTATATTTTCTTAATCTGTATGAAAATGGAAATAAGCTTATCTTTGTAGGAGAGAGTTTCAGTTCCCAATTACCTTGTTCCTAGTAAAAATGACATTCCCCGTAATTGCAACTGAAAATGAGTACTTGTATGAGGGGAAAGGGTAAAGATGGGTTTGGGGAAGAATGAGGGCTGTGAGTTGTGAGTTTGAACCCAATTAAACAAGTCCAAGATTTTGCGAAGCCTTCTGTGCGGAGAATGAATTGTCTCCAAGACAGTATATACTTTCCTCATTATTATCCTTTGTTACTTTTTCCTCGCATCACACAGGATAATAGAACATGTGAACATTCACTTATTTTTTTTTCTAGATCCTGGATTTGATTGTACTATTGTGCTGCAAATGCATTTTGACACTAGAATAAAGCAACCAATGACATGCCTTTGGTCATCAATAATGTATCTTCACACAAGTATATCACAGAATATAACCCAATAACAAAATGAAAATCATTTGAAGGAATTCTCCAGAACCAGATATAGGAGTAGTTAATAACATTGATGGTAACTGAACTTATAATGAAGTTTCATGTTAGTCACCGAACTCTTTTTTGATTTGATGTGGTCATGAAGTTTGTTTTTGTTTCACTTTGGACACTTGGGTTAAAATCCGTTGGTTTTTCGTGGAATATGTGGCTTGACATCAACGCGTAATGCTTCAAATTTGTTGTCATAATAAATAAGATAATTACTTCCAGTGTTCTACAACTCACCAAGGACGAGTTAGATCTTTGGGTCTTAGAAGCTTTGACAAGTTGGGATTTCCCCTGTGCAGTTGCAGCATTAGCATTCTCAATGTTGGAACCAATATCATCTGGGAAGAAGAGAAGGATTACTTGTTAGTTATGTGGTTGGTAGATCGATGTGTAAATTTAATGCGATGCAAGTAATTACCAATCATAGCTCCTTGCTCATGAACTAGCACAGCAAGATCTTTGAAAATCTCATTCACTTCACCAATTTGTTGCTGTATCTCATTTATACCCTGCTCTCTTTCCTCTATAATCGCCTCATTGAAGGAAATCTCATTGTCCAAGAGTAAAACCTCCTGTCTGCAGACCAAAGCACATGGAAAATAAGCATACAAAATTTTATGGTATTATAAGTAAAATAAAGAATTTCCACCAAATAAGGTTTATTTTAGTTCGTACTATGACGTTGAAAGTAAAAAACAGAATGATGCCCTCTATTCAAAGATATTTCAAATTCTTCAACTGACAAGACACTAACACATGCTCACAAATATATAATATTTCAAAAGGTATTTCAAAATTTCAACTAAGATCTCATGCTTAAAGATCACAACACAAATGCATCATCATCCACACATTTCAAATAGTGTATTGAAGAAGGGTATTAACAGACTCATGAGAATGCAAACATACAGGAATGAAGATTGGGCCATTTTCACTAAAGCAAAATAGTGAAGTGTTTATTAACGGTTTAAATTAGAAATAGATAAAAATGAGTGGTAGATAAGTGGGTAGTACTTGTAGGAGGGTAAAAATGGCTTCAATATTCATAAATAGTTTATAAACATGAGCTAAACACAGGCTAATTGTTATATAGTACAGATCAAGGAAATTGACAGTCTTGACAAATTAATTATTCTTTAATAGCAGAATAATGAGAGTCTTTTGAGAGACAGTGGTATATTATATCAATCCTATTTCAACATCATCATGGCAGCATAATCATTCAAGAAGTCCATATAGTGAATTGCACAGCATGAGATTGATTTTCTTGAATTTTGGCATCCCAAAAAAATAAGTCTCTTAAGATTAAATAGCCAACCCCACCCCACCTTCCAAAAAAAAAAAAAAAAAAAAAAAAAAAAAAAAATTCACACACACACACACACACAACCAAATAAGCCAAGCAGGAGGCTGATAGCATTTATTCAGTCATCCAACATTGGCTCCACTGTTCATGAGAAGTTCACAATATGCCATCATGTTTGATTATTTTTGTTTGCAACTAATTGATTATTCATTTGACCAATTGTATTTAGGAAGAAATTAAAAAATGATCCAAGGGAAAAAGAAGAAATGATGTCTAGTATTTCATTTGCGCAAAGTTATCAAAGAATAAATGATTGGAAGAAACAGGAGCAATGTTATTACTGTAAATTATTGTTAGGGCATAATAACAAGATAATATAAAACAAATGCATTCATATAAATACAATATACGAATTGCATAACAAGCACATATTGTAAAAAAAGGTACTGCAAACATTTAGGTTATCAAGTTTAAATTCATACGATACATGAACAAACAAAAATAGCTTACGGTGAGCCATAGATCAAACTATTCATAAAAAGCATGGTTCATTAATCTTTTGCACCCATGGCTGCTAATTTTGGTGATTAAACAATTGTCAATAATTCTGCTTTAAGCACCTTTACCTTCTAGATTCCACGAGAAGAGCTCGCTGTTCTGGACTCTTATCCGCACTTACATCTATCTCATTAGCTACATAGCTGCAGAGAATAGTAGATGAAAAGATAAGCAACAGAAAAACCTTGCTTAGAAAAATTTAGGCAATACCCTACAAATGATATATATTGCACAAGTTTGAGCAGATAACCCATTAATTGCTCACAAGTTTCTGCAAATTGACAGCATTTATAGTCATAAACAATAAAATTATTGCAACTAGTACATTGAAAAATCTTAAACATTCGAACTTCTGACAGTAACATATAGCCATGAACATTGATTACCTCGAAGGAAGAACTGCCTGGGGAACAAAAGGAGTATATGCCGTCTCCCTCTCAGCTGCAAGCCGCTGCGCCTTCTGAAACTCCTTTAATACTGCTTGAAAATCTTTTGCGAGTTTAGCATCTGTTATTTTCTTGCTTGCCTACCAGAAAGAGAATAATCAGATCGATTATAATTGGGGTCTGGGGATTGAGGAAGAGAACTTCAACGCTCATATTTATCACGGTACAAGTGTCGAGCAACTAAAAACTTTCGCTTTCAATCATTTACTTTGATATTATACTCGTATACCTCAAATATAATCAAAAAGACATACAATACTAACAACCGTTGTAAGCGATAAATAGGACAAGAAAGAAAACATGATATGAGGGGTGGGAAGCTTTGTTGCCACATTAACGGTGAGCAAGGAAGCAAACTCACACTGACTTCAACATGATGATCTGTTTCACTAGCTTGCTTAAGTTTAGCTGAAGTATCCTTCACCAATTGTCCAATATGTAGCCTAGTTTTATGCCTGCAGTTGAGTAAAACCAATATAAGAGACAAATTTCCATTAAAATTGGCATTAACTGCATGGAAAAACATATGGCTGCAGGTGGATCACCATTCACAGAAACCCCCCAAGAAAGTAACTATATATAAACCAGTTCATACCACACAGTTTCATGACCAGTGATAATGAACTAATATTAGATACCCTGTTATATTTCTATTTGCATGGAATTTTTTATGTGTCATCACTGAAATGAATTCTCCTTCCATTTTAGGGAAAAAAAAAGAAAGTTCCAATTGAAAGCTGCTCTGAGGGGAGCAATGGTTGATAGAAAAAACATCAGCAAGTAGAACATGCCTCCAAAGTAGAAGCCAGGATACAAAGATCTAGAACCCCCAAGGAAGACAAGTTCGCAAAAACTTATATTTTGACTTATCAATCTAATCCTGATTTTTCCCCATAAGACCAATGCATCTCCTTGATTCCAAATTGCAAAATATGATGTCTTTGTTTCTACATGAGTTCATGTGCATGAAAGCCACGAAAAGGTTGAAAGAAGAGAAGAAGAGAAATTGAGATAAATCTGTTCCTTCAATAAAAAAAAAGACCATTTAGTTTGAAGTCTTTAAAAAGTGAAAGCTAGCTCGAATAATCAAATGCCGATGCATAATGAAGGGATTTCATTTGCAGATTAGCATAAAAGAATAAAATCCCATCGAGAAAAATGCAACCTCCAAAAAGGAGAGATTAACCTCAGGTGTAGATCTGACTCAAGTTAGAAAAGGTCTACTCAGAAAGATAATAACAAGAAATTTTTTTATGCATCTTAGTTTGATGTAGGTCTAGAGTAGAATCACCAGAAACCATCAAGACCTGCATATGAAAGTCTTCTCAAGCCCAGAATCTCTAGTAGTCCAAAAACCAATATCAAAAGGGGCTTTACAACTGAGACTCCAATAATAACGAAATGGCAGGGCTAAAAATTATCTATCAGTCGTTGAGTAGGTAATTATTTTCACGAAAAAAGGTTTCTTAAGTGACTTCCAAGCTTGCATGCCTACATATGATTGATGTCATACATAAAGTAGAAATCGATGGTATCAACCGCAACATACAATGTATACAATATTTCAAGTCCCTCAGAAAGACAACCACCTCAAGTTTCATCATAAAGTTAATGTGTGAGTTAAAACTTGCATCTTAGATTTGAATAAGCCCCGAATATCCATTTGGATGCATAAGCGCTTCTATAGACTCTACATTTGGCTAAAGTGTAATGAAGTGGTCGAGGGCAACTGCAAGCAGTACTTCATTCAACAAATTCATAGTTGACTCAGACCAGGTTGTGCCTTGTTCTCCCTTGGCTCTTAGGTTTCTCATAAATTTTTCATATGATTATAATTTATAAGTCATGATTATCTGAAGTTTTCAATATTTTCATCTTTCTCTTTAATAATGTTCAATAGAATGAAGACTTCATTGTTCGAAAAGATGAACCATGATTGGAAGGGGAAGAAAAAGATATGCAATTCAAATAGCTTTTGGAAACAATGAGATACTTATATATAAGATGAGAGCAAAACTGTTAGTATCTGTTGTGCACACTTTTATAGATTTGCTGCAACTTATAAAAGGACGAATACAACCACCTAGAATGTATTTTTCCCTTGACTTAATAAAGAATGTACACATAAATAGATGTGTTTGGGTGCATGTCGTTACTAAATGCTCAAGCCTGTATTCAAGTAATTTATAATATAAAATGATTTTTCCCAAAGTAATTTTACTTATTCAGTAGTGTCATTATTAACTTTTTTTCTATATTTTTTCTCCTCTTAATCGTATATTCAATTAGAGAGAACCAACTCAGTAATCGAAGTGCTGACAAGGAAGTGAAATCCAAAGAGCCCAAGGGCATGAGAATTATAAAAGCAGTAATCAACAACCAGATGCTGCCGATCAGTAATAACAGATCCAATACAAGGTAGTAAAATTCCTAGCTTTATTTAACAGACCCCATAACCTAACATCCTTCCTTCTAGCAGCTAGGACAAAATCTCCATGAACTTTGAGTACCAAATCAAGCTCATTATTTTTCATAGTTACACTGGCCAAACTTACATCAATTTCAGGGAGCCCTTCCTCGGAGAGTCACTTTCCCTTTTTTCCTTCCCTTCGGATCTCCATCCCCACCATCCACTGAAATGGCAACACCTTCCTAACAATTTCTTTTCACACGATTTCTTATCCCATAGAATTCCTAATTCTCCATTAATCATACATAGCTGAAGAAGCCATCAAAAATTTGTAATTTGTAATTATAATGCAATAGCATATGCACTTCAATAGATCGCCTTCATATATCGTATTTCACCTCTAAGTCACAGTCCTCGCAATTTAAACCCTAGTTCCAATCCCACGGTAACAACCTCTATGCTAAATTAACTTACGCCAATTGGACAGAGAAATAATGATAATTCACTAAAAAAACACAAACGTCAGCCTCATTCGACAATACGAAAAGTCAAAGAAAATAAAATATTCCTCACAGCTTTTCACGGAGCTCAGGTGTATCCTTAGGGGTACCAAGTGTATTGACGAGGCGCTGGAAGGTGGATACGGCAGTATTGATCTGGAAAATTCCCGAAGCCACGGCTTGGGTCGGATCTTGCTTCCCATTTATGTAATCCCTACGGGACCCCAATCCCCGACCAGATTCTAGATCTTGAAAACTCATCTCTAATTAAATATTTTCTCAAACCCAAAAATCGAAACTATTCTCGATGCAATCCCAGCAGAATTCTGGACGTTTTTCAATAACAGATTATTTGAAACCAAGAAACAAACCCTAGAAAAATAAGTTTGAGAAATTCTGGAGGGGAATTGGGATTCCAGCTGTAAAAACTCAAAATTAGGTGAACAGGAGTATAATTGTCGTTGCTGGGGAGGGGAAATTGAACGGAAATTAAGGAGGGGATTGATGGGTGAAATGGGAATTGGAATGGAATTGAGGATGACAATAGAAATTTGAGTTTTGTTTTCCTCTTTTAATGGGGAGAGAATCAAAACTAATATTAAAAAATTAGTTGAACATTGAGCCCCAGTGGGACCAATAGTTAATTTTTGGAAAATATATATCGCTTTTTTGGTTCGGAATAAAATTCAATTTTAATCCAAATCAAAGTCAAACGATCAATATTTATCATATTTTTCATGAGTCGCACTATTTTTCAATCGCATATTTCAAAAAAATTTATCATAATCTACTAAAAAATTTAAGTTTAATCTTCACCTAACACCCTCATAGTTAAAAAATGAAAAAATTAAATTTAAGTACAAAAAAATTTATTATGAAAGTGTGGTTTAAAATAAGTTAGAGAAAAAAAAATCTTAAAATAATGGTATACAAATAGGGCTAAAATCAAAGGTGTGTTATGCTTTGGTCACCAAAATTTTTATGCTACAAATTAGAGTTTGTTTAAGTTCTTTTTTAGGAGAATGTATTTTGTAATAATAATAATTTTTAGAAAAATGTATAGTTATAGAATTCCAAAAAATAAATGAATTTATGTATAAAATATTATTAAAGAAATGTGTGATTAAAAATGATTTTGTGAAAAAATGGGGCTTAGACGCTTAGTCATGTTTGATTTAGCTCAGCATTTTCAAGAGACTATCTACTTTTAAAGAGCATATTATATAATTTATAGAGAATCAATAAATATAAAGAGAAAAAATTATTAGTCTATTTTCTCAATTTGGCCCATACAAACCAATGTAAATATATATGTCAATGATCAAACTATTATGTGTCAATAAATCAGAAGTTTATAAGGACAAGCAACTCAAATGTTTGTTTTCCAATCTAGTAAAATCCCAAACATGTATTGTGCAATTTGGGTCTCAATTTAGTATAGTAAAATAAAGTTCCTATCGATGTAGCAATTTTTCGACATGGCTAACTTTTCCTAGTTAACAATTAAGTTATTGATGAAATTTAGTCCTCGTTTGGTTTTTATTTTTCAAGTCAAAAAATCAATTTTTGAATCGTTACTTCCAATAGTTAGCCATCATTTTTTACTTCTTTACTCACAGATGAGACCACCTTTCAAGCTAACTATCAAAAAATTGATTTTCATAATCAGCACCAAATAGACTCGAGTGACGTATTCTACAACAAAAGGAAAGTTAAGCGCTAACTACACAAGGTAAACTCCTTTTCACGAGGAGGGTTCCTTTACTAGTCACAAATGTGACAACTATGCTCTCGTCCTTACATTGCAAGGTTGCAACTATAAAGAAAGGGCCGCACTAACCAAAAAAGGGAAATAAAATGATGAGTGACCAATATAGGCACACCCATAAATCTAGAGCCTAAAGAGATTTTTAACACTTCGAGCCCCATTTAATTAAAAAATAGATTTTGTAATATCAACTTTTTTTGAAGAATATGTGATTGAAAAATAGAAAAAAAGGATTGAATTTACGTTTAAATTATTTTACTAAGAAAATGTGTTATTGAAAATAAATTTGAAGAAAAATGAGTTTTGGAATAATAGGCTCAAGCTGCTTAAAAAATTCAAGACAGAGAGTGTGTGAATTGATAATTTAACAATTTAATTTTCATGCTTACTATTTAACTTTGAAGATAAATATATCGATCTTTTAATATTTCATTATAGCTACGTCAATCTTCAGTTCTTGAAACAAATCTCATTTAAGTCCATGTTTGATGGCTATTATTTTGAGAAAATGATATTGTAATAGTGATTTTTTGGAGAACGTATTGTTAAAAAGTAGAAAAAAATTAGTTTATATGTAAAATATTTTATTATATGAATATAGAGTTATAAATAAGTATGCGAATTAAAGAGTTTTGTTCAAAACAAGACAAACAAGGGCTAAATCTTGACATGATTTTAATATGTCAAGTATATAAAATTGAATTTTGAATGGTGGTAATTTAATGAAATTTTTATCAATATATATCTCCCATTCTGGGATCGTTTGTAAAACATTTAAACAACTACTTTACGACTATTGTAAAATCTCTATAAAAAAGAAAATAATGTTGGGATCGAAAAAAATTTATTATTATGGAGAGTTTATTAATCCATCAATAAATGAATTATTAATTTATAGAACATTTTATATTTTTATAGTCTGTATTATAGTTTATCATAATATATGTAGAAATTTTGAAAAAAAATAAAAATAAAAATCGACTATTGTGAAGTTCAAAGTTTATTCTGTAAGCAACAAAAAAGACACATACATACATACATTAAAGATGAAATATCAATGTACGTGCGTTGGCTTCAAAGTTTAATATTTTGGAAGATTAAAATATTCAAATTATTTCATGAACACATGGAACATAATTTCTACTGTCGTTATTTTTAACTTTAATACCCTCAATTATTCCAAATTTCACATATTTTTCTACCATGGCATTTCATTTGAAAGGAGTTAAAAATCTACATCGAGATAGTTTTGTTTTATAAAATATTTCTTGAAAAGAGGCATTTAAAATCGGTAGTAAACTTAAATAATTAATTGGCACAAAATTAAAAAAATGCCAAATTTAATATGTGCATTGTAGAAAATTAAGATAAAGCTGAATTTGATTTGGGTGCAAAGAAAAGGCAAACGACTTTAGAAAGAGAGGCAAACTTTTATAAATTTAAATAGTTATTATTTTATATATTCATTGGGCTTTAAAGAATCTTAAAAATATTATAATTTTATGCATTTAGCGAGAGTATTAATTTTGTACAATGATCTAAGTCGTGATCGAAGAATTTTATTATTTAAATGAGATCATTAATTTATCGAATATTTATTTATCGATATTATAGGCTAAAGAATATTTAGGGTGAGAGAGGTAGAAATTTGGATTGGAGAGCACGATGTCGCGGGAGTGGCGTGCCGGCAACCTACGGTGCCCAGGTGTGCCACGTGGATTTAGGCTGTCTCTCATTTTTATTTTATGTTTTTTATGTCATGGGCAGCCTTCCCTTTTTACCCAAAATAAATAAAGCAATAAAAAGGAAAATGATGGTCCACTCATCCTTTATTTTTATTTTTTTATAATTAAAACGATTAAATAACAATAATTAATGTCCTTATTAAAGCAACTCCAACGAGACATTGTATCTGATGTAAAACATTAAGGGGGTGTTCGGGAGTGATTTTTTACCTCAAAAATTTGATTTTTTGATTATTATTTCACTATTTCAACATTAATTTTTAATTTTTTCTCTCACAGGTAGCTCTCACTTTTCTTCTAATGGTCAAAAAATCAATTCTCAAAATCTTTATCAAACAGGACTTAAATATAGTGTAACGTTTTCTCCAACGGTATCTGTTACTGATCATACAAATGATCCACATGAAAGTTTCATCTTCGTACACGTGGCATTGGTTCAAGAAGGGATGTGGAAGATGTCAACTGTCAAAGCTGTTACATTGGACGTCGAGGTCGTCTCACTATGACTCAAGTGGTTCCAGCTTTTGTTCATTAGAAGTGGGTTTATCGCTCTTCTGCCGAGCTCTATAGCTTTCGAAGTCCTTGACACGCAGAAGAAGGGTCTGATTATTACATCTTTGGAATTGATTGATGTAACATTCTCATTAAATAAGTGTCAAGAATGTCAGCCTAAGGATATAGGGTGGTTATCCCCTTATCAAATGTCAATCAATACAATTAATGTTAGATAGAATTGATGTAACAGTAAGGTCTGACAGATCAAGCCACGTGAATTGAATCTAACAGTAACCACGTCCGCCTGATCACTAGATATAGACAATTCTTGTATCATTTAAATAGAGGAATCTTTGAACTAAGAAAAAGGGAGAGCATAATATATTTAGCCCCCGTTTGGCCCTCATTCTCATCTCATTCTCATTCTAATTCTTTTTTTCTCTTATTTTCAACTACACAATCTTCTATAAAATATTATTACACACAAATCAAAAAAATTTCATTCTTTTTCAACCACACATTTTTCAAAAAAACACTACTTCATCCATTAAAATTAGCTAAGAATGGGGGCCAAATGGAGGCTTATACAAAGTGGTCTACTGTCATCATCATCTTCTTCTTCTACAAATATATGTATTTTTTATCAACATATTACTAAACACATCCACATCCACATGTGTATTGTCTTCAAACAACACTTATTGGCCATTTTAGGATGTCAATAAATTGATGCCAAAATATAGTGTAATTTGGTGTAATACTGTTCATTTGCACCAAGTGTAAGAATTTTAATCTCATTTTACCCTTATTCACACTATATAAAAATTGTTTCATTTATCTATGTACTCATTAATATTTCGTATTATTAATTTTAATTGATTCCTAATTATTTTAATATGACGGTTATTTATGTTTAATAAGTAATAATTATTTCAATAATAAAGATTTGATCTCCCACTTACAGTGAACAATATAAAAATTTATTACTGCTGATGTGACAGAAGAACATTACTTACGGTTCTCTATAACAGTCATACATTCCGAGAATCACAGGTAAGATTCTCTCTATCACGTCAACAATGAGAAGTTTTTATCCTACCTATCAGAGACGAGATTAATTCTATTCAACAATAAATTAAAATTGTTTATTACAAAGTCAAAAGTTACAAATTTGATCAATAATAAATTAGCACTAGAACAATGTGTGTATATATTTATTAAAAACATTAATTAAAGTACAATACACATTTAACTAAAAACAACAATTTATTTTACTCCATTTAATATAATTTCTAATTTAATGATTTTTGTAATAATATAATTTGTAAAATAACATTTGGTATAAAATAATTCAACGTCTATTTTAGTGTAAAACCATCTTCAGTGATCAAATTTTTTATGTAAACCATTGGAGATGGTCTTATAGGCATCGAAGTTTCAGACTCAATATTTTTTATATTAGAAATTATTTTTTTCCTCAATCAGCAGCACTACCTTACTATTACTTTTGTCCATAAAGATATACTTGTTTTTATTTTCACACAAAATAAGAAAATGTAATTAACATAGTTAAATATAAA